AATGTTGGATAAAAAGTATGATTTTTATTGGTGCTTCTAAACTATTTCCCCTATTGACACCATGCTTTAAAGGATTTTATCATCCAACACGTTCATTATGTGGTTATTTAGCTCCTTGGTTTTTTGTTTTTATCATTAGTATTTATTTAAAGAAAAACAAAACAAAACTACCTATCAGAATGGATGGAGTGGATATATTGCAAGCATAAAATTAATTTAATAAAGAAATTTCATTTTATGTTTTTCTAAGGCAGTATATATCCTGATTATGATCAATATGTAATTTCCAGTGTTTTAAAACACTGAAAGTCTCCATTACTGACTGAGTAGCCTTCATTGGTCTAATTCATTTTTCATTTATTAATAATATATTAGCATAATTTATTTTTCCTGTTGACACGACAGTCTGTGGCTTAGCTGTAGTTAGTCAACCTCTTTTCTGCACATCTATTTTGAGTTTTTCATGAATGGGCATTGTCTCTGGAAAATAGGCATGGAATTGAAAAAGGAAACAAATTTATGGCCTTCATAAAGACTCAAGGTATTTTTCTACTTAACTCCTCAAATGGTTGTTTAGCAGGCATGAAGTGTTTGTTGTATTTGATGATTTTTTGTGTTAATTTATGTCCTAATGGGTATCCAGTTGACAGTTACTGGGACTGGAGAGAGGGAGGGGGTGAGAATAGGAGAGAGATGAGAGCAGTTCCCCACAGGCCAGTCAAATCTTTAATCGTATCACTCTAAACTAAGACAAAATAAGGGGTGCTGGTTTATAACCACTCGACACTAGAATGAGGATATTTGAGTTCTGAGAATAGTTATAGAACCTGGCATAGCATTTTGGTAAAAATGTCTATTTCCACAGGGAAAGGAAATACCTTAAAAGGTTCATCATGAAATAGTATAGGTGATGGTAAAATGATGAGTAAGAACATATGATTTTCATGAAACTTTAACAAAAGGTCTGTAAGCTATCCTGGCCTGGTTTCCTTAAGCCCAAACTTGACATTCCTTCTACTTCATGGCAGTCACTCAATATGGATAGATTACTTCACATAATACTATGTAACTAACATAAATACATGAAATTGGAATAGCGTTTACTGATTTGTAACAAGGTTACTTTTTAATTTTATTTTCTTTTTTAGATGTATTTAAAAAAATTAATCAACTAGTGTTACTTTTTTAAATTGTTTTATTGTAGTGAGTATATGTACAAAAAAAATTGCCATTTCAACATTTTTCATATCAGGAAATGTCACTGTACAATTTAGTGACATTAATTATGTTGATCATATTATGCGGCCATCATCACTATCCATTTCCAAATTTTCCCATCACCCTGAACAGAGACTCACTGCCCCCTAAACAATGACTCCCTCTTTCCTCTTCCTTGCCACCCCTGGTAACCACTCATAGACTTTGGTCTCCATACATTTGTCTGTTCTAGATATTTCATAGAAGTGATATCATACAATATTTGCCCTTCTGCGACTGACTTACTTCACTCAACATAATGTTTTAACATGTATCAAGATTTCCTTCCTCTTTATGACAGATTAATATTCCATTTTATGTATATACCACTTTTTGATTATTCATTCATCTCTTGATGGGCAGTTAGGTTGTTTCTACCTTTTGATTACTGTGAATAATGCTGCAGTGAACATTGGTGTATATATGTCTGTCTGTGTTGATCCCTTCAATACCTTTGAATATATGTGTGCCTATGAGTAGAATTAGGAGCTCTGGTAGTGCAGTCCTAAGGCATTTGACTGCTAACCAGAAGACTGGTGGTTCAAACCCACCAGCCACTCCTCAGAAGGAAGGTTGGGCGATCTACTTCCGTAGTGATACTGCCTTGGGAACCTATGAGTCGGATCCGACTTGACAGCAGTGAGCTTATTAGGAATTACTGGATTATCTGGTAATTTTATGTAAATGAGCATGCATCAGTTTTTAACCAAGAAAAAAATCATTAATAATAAAGCTGCAAACAGACGTGTATGAAAACTCTGCACATATCTTTGCTTTAGCCTGATAGGTTTACTTTACTCAGTATTTACTCACTGAGTACCTGATATTATAATAATGAGCCCTTATGTTTATATAGTTCCTTACAAAGATTCTTCACATAGGGTATATAATAAAACACAGGAACTTAAAAATGGTGATGGGACAGACAATAATACCCCAAAACAAAAAAATAATGGGCTAGATACTTTATCCTGTTTTTTAAGAGTTATATGGTTGGCAAATAGAAGAAATAGAGCCATACTTCTGAATCCTAGCACAATTTTCCCTTTTTTTTTTTTTTTAATTTAGGTGCAAGTTTACAGAGCAAATTGGTTTCCATTTAACAATTCATACTCATTTTCTTTTGTGACGTTCATTGCAATCCCCACAATGGAAGAGCACTCTTCCCACTTCCTCCCTGTGTTTACCATTTCCCTTTGTCCTTCTTTCCTGTCCCTTCCTGCCTTCTGAGCTTTATCCCTGGACAAATGCTGCCCCTTTGATCTTGTATGATTGATTGTTCTATTGGTTGATTAATTGTTCTAACACCTTCCTGGTGTTATAGGCCTGTCTGTTGTTTGGCTGGAAGTTGAGCCATGGGGGTGAGTTCAGCTCCGAGCTTGAAGGATGTTTAAGGGACATAGTCTTGGGGGTTCCACCTGTTTTCATCAGACCAATAAGCCTGGTCTTTATAAAAATTTTGAGTTTCATTCCATACATTTCCCCCACTCTATCTGGAACCTCCTATTGTGATCCCTTTCAGAGTGGTTGGCAGTGATAGCTGGGCACCATCTAGTTCTTCTGCTCTCAGGGTCATGGAGGCTGGGGTTCATGTGGTCCATTAGTCCTTTGGACTAATTAATTCCTTGTGTTTTGTTGGTTTTTTTTTTTTTTTTTTCACTCTTACTTGCTCTAGAGAAGAAGAGATCAAAAGTTGCATCTTAAAGGGCTGCTCACAGCTTTTAAAAACCCAGTCACTACTAACCAAAATAAGTTGTAGACCATTATCTTGGTTGACTGTGTTATGCCTATTGACCTCAGTGTCCCCCAAGACTATGGTCCTGAGCTCTCATTCCTAGCAACTCATTCCCTCAAGGTGTTTGATTATGACTAAGAAGTTTTCATAACTTTGCCTCCATTTGCTCTACTATATTCATGGATATATTTGCAGCACATATAAATGTGTATGTAGAAATATTTTTTGTCGAACCTGTATATATTCATGGGTGTAGTCCCATTCACCTTCTACCCCTGTTCAGTTTGAGTATCTATGTCTATCTAATACTATTTAATCTTTTTTCCTCCCATGTGCATGAAGTTCTGCTAAATCCCATGGAACATATAAAGAAATATAAGACCCAGCACTCTTTCTATCAAGCATTTATAATACAACTGAAGTAAAAAGATATATGCTGACAGAGAGAGTTAATTAGCAGCTCGAGTCACAGTGCAGATAAAAAAATGCAGTGCCTAGCAATGCCTGGCACATAGAAGACACTCAAGAAATGTTAGTTGGATGGACTGGTGGATAAATGGACAGACAGATGAATGGACATGCAGGCAGGGAGAAAGGCAGAAGGATTAACAAATTATAGTTACAGGTCTAGGAAGAAGAAAAGTTCACTGGTCACAAATCATTGAATTTCAGTAAATGCCTATTGACTTATTTTATAGGATCAGAATACTTTGGGAAGGAGAAGACAGACTGTACTTAGGCCTTGAGGAATATAGAAGAGTCAGGGTCTGATCTACAGAGAGAAGAGGGAAGGAATTCTAGCCCATGGGCTCAGCATGAGCAAAGGCAGTGAGGCAGGAACAGCAGGATCTGACTGGGAACTGTAACAGGGTAGAGTAGCCTTACTAAAGCAAAAGGTTTGGTGAGGGCATTGTTTTCAATATAAAATGGAACTACATCATAGAGCATCTTGAATTTCAAGCTGAAGTATTTGCAGAAACCATAAACAAGAGCAGCTATAGAAATTTTCTGCATAAGGTAATTGATACCCTGTTGAAGGATGTTTTAGACAATGAATCTGGTGGAAGTATGAATTTGTGTTAAATATAAGGATATGAGACAGTTCATTACAAAATGTAGATTTTAAGTATTCAGCTGGAATTTGAAAATATTTCTAGAAAGAATTATACATGTAGATCTTGCTACATCATCATTAAAATATTTCTATATATAATTGCAATTTCTGAGACAGTTATGTCAAATTCAGCTTTAGATCAATGAGTACCCGAATTGAGAAATAAAAAAGATTACGACATTCAGAGATAAGAAGCTGCCATAAAAGTCTGGAGGCTTCAAATATATCATGCATAAAGTTTAATAAATGTTTTACATGCTAGAAGACAATTTATGTCTTCTGGAATATTCAGCCTAATTACTAGATATGTCAGAAAATTGCTATTTCTTGCATGTAAATTCTTCATAAACTGCGAGAAATCCAGTTACACTATATGAAGATATATATACATCATCACTTCTCTTTAAATCTATTAATTTTATCTTACTAAATTGATGATGTCATCACAGAAGTCAGAGCCATTAACAGTGGGGGCCTGGAATGAAACAGTGTGGGTTAGAATCCAGTGCAACCACTGACCTGCTGCTAGTCAATCTTGACCACATTTCTCTCCGTTCCTCAGTTTTCTCATCTATGAATGATGATAATAACAATCTTAAGATTGTTGGAGGATTAGATGTAAAGATGTAGAATCAGTGCCCAGCATATGGTAACAATTCATAAATGATAGGTGTGGTATTAGTAATAATACATGATCAGTTAATAATATGCATTCACCTTATTTGCTTATCATTATTGTTTATTATTAGTTTTCTCTTCTTTAGCTTACAACTCATTGCCAGAAAGATAGCTAGGCTCCCACTGTCTCCACTAAGTGACATTGTGACTCAACACGAGTATAGGTGAGGTTGTTCCTAGCCCCAGTGAGGCTTATCATCCTCTTGCCTTCCACAGTGAGTCATCTCTATGGATTTGGACTGATGGATGCAGAGGCAATGGTGATGGAGGCGGAGAAGTGGACCACCGTTCCCCAGCAGCATGTGTGTGTGGAGAGCACAGATCGACAAATCAAGTAACGTTTGCTGCAAACAAGCACATGGCAGTGCCCTGAAAGAGAGCAATTCAGGACGGGACTCACAACCATCCTTTCTTGCATGTTGTTGTTGATATGGAAGTTAAATGCTCTGCAGTTTTTTTCTAATGTCATTATAAAGTTTTAATAGAATATCTCATATTCTCAGCTGTTAAGTCCACATTGTTGTTGTTGTTATGTGCCGTCGAGTCAAACCCGACTCATAGCGACCCCTCCTTGGGTTTCCGAGGCAGTATCACTACAGAAGTAGGATTGCCCAACCTTCCTTCCAAGGAGTGGCTGGTGGGTTTGAACTGCCAGCCGTCTGGTTAGCAGGCAAGTGTCTTTGCCACTATGCTACCAGAGCTCCCCAAACCCATTGCTGTTGAGCCAACTTCAACTTATGGCAATGCGTGTTTGTCAGACTGGAACTGTGCTCCATAGGCTTTTCATTTTCTGTCACCTATGGAAGTAGATCACCAGGACTTTCGTCCATGGCACCACTGTGCCTTTTAATTAATAGCCAAGTGTAAACCTTTTGTGCCAGCCAGGGACCTTCAGTTAAACCTAAGGATTCTTAAAAGAAAAACATCTTTTAAAAAGTGATTTGGAGAGACTTTTAGAGATGAATTTTCTTGAGGTTTCTACTCTGTCAGCATTTTTATTTGACGCTGTAAGTGTCTCCAGAAGTCATTGTTCCTCCAAAAACTGACTTAGTTCACACCTTGTGATTCTCCAAAGTATGGTGCAAAATATACTCTAAATGTGACTACAGGTGACTTATAAATCTTAGAGCCTGTTCCCCTGTTTCAGAGGCACACACCCAGAAATTGTGCTGACAGGATTTAACAAATGATGGTGTGAAATCTCCTGGCTGCTAGATCCAAGGAACAGGATTCCATTTTAGAGGTTCCACTAGCATTTGGGAGCTCTGGTGGCATAGCTCTTGGCTTTCGTTTCAGAGAGTTTTCCCCCTAAAACTTATTTCTGAACTTTGGTTTCTTATGAAAGTAGAGCATTATAATTCTTGAAGAAATTTGTTAAGAAGCAGGAATAAATGAATTAAAGTTTTCTTTTTCATTCTATTCGTGGTAAAGAACGAGGGAAGAAATAAAAGAGTAGAAAGTTGGCCATTATTAATTGAGCACTTACTATGGACTAAGCCGGGAGCTCTGGTAGCACAGTGGCTAAGACACTTGCCTGCTAACCAGACGGCTGGTGGTTCAAACCCACCAGCCACTCCTCGGAAGGAAGGTTGGGCAATCCTCCTTCCGTAGTGATACTGCCTCGGAAACCCAAGGAGGGGTCGCTATGAGTCGGGGCCGACTCGACGGCACATAACAACAACAACAACATGGACTAAGCCATGTGTTAGTAATTTCATGTGTGTTTTCTAATTTTTTTAAAAAATTAACAACTTGGGTATTATTCCTATATGACATATAAGGAAGCAGGATCAGACGGATTATATGTTTATTCAACAACTGATTTATCAATTCAACAACTATTTTTCTTGCACTTATTGGATATCAAACATGGGGCTACATATTAGTGATAAAAAGGAGAAATAAATACTTTCTGCCCTCATGAAGCTTACAGTCTAGTGGAAGAGTCAAAGTCAAAAATGAAATAAGTAGATAATTACAAGTTATAATAGAAGTGAAACTTGGAAATAAACAAGGTTGAAAATAAGAGGGAAGGGGGACATATTTTGTCCATGTCATTCAGTGAAGGTCTTAGAAGGTAAAATTTAAGTTTTTACCTTGAAGAAAGAGCCTGGCATATAAAGAACAGTAATAATAATCATGACAATAATAATTAATGCAGAGAGTAGTGAGTACAAAGTCTCCAAGGTGGAAAAGAACATGAGTTATCCCAGAACTTGAGCCAACATCAGTGTGGCTAGAGCCTGGTGACTAAGAGGACAGGCATAGGAGGAAGCTAGAAAGGACAGGAAAGTGTGCAGGTAGATTATAGATCAAAGAAAAGGCAGACCCTGGTTGTGCTAATTCCCAGGCCTCCACTCTAGCCCAATACCCTATATCAGCGGTTCTTACAGTACGTTCCACAGATCAGCGATAGCCATTATCAACTGGGAACTTGTGAGAAATGCAGATTCTTGGGATCCACCCAGATCTACTGAATCAGACCCTGTGAGGCTGGGGCTCACCAATCTGTCTTTTAACAAGGTGATACCAACTCAAGTTTGAAATGCACTACCTGCACAAACCAAACCTATTGCCATTGAGTCGATTTAGACTCATAGTAACCTTCTAAGACAGAGTATCACTGCCCAGAGCGTTTCCAAGGCTGTAACCTTAACAGGGTCAGACTGCCACATTTTTCTCCCATGGACCAGTTGGTGAGTTCAAGCTGCCATCCTTTCAGCTAGCAGCAAAGCACTTAATAACTGTGCCACCAGGGCTCCTGTATGAAGAGAACACTAGTTCACCCTTTCCTCTTTCCCACTGCTTAAGCAATATTAATGCTTTAAGTGACCCAGTCATTTGGGTGATGACACTGTGGTCCTTGAGTTTCTAGGGAACAGCTGCTTTCGTTACATTGTATGGTAACGCCAGGCATCCCAGTTTACTCAGTTGAGTTCTGCCACATCTGCTCAGAATCTCTCTCTCTCTCTTTCTGTTACAGGACAATTCGCCCCAACAGTGCAGTGCGCTCCATCTACAAAGCATCAGGCTGCTCAGATAACCCCAACCACCACGTCAACTACCTGGAGCATGTAGTGGTACGCATAACCATCACCCACCCCAGGAGGGGAGACCTGGCCATCTATCTGACCTCACCCTCAGGAACCAGGTCACAGCTTCTGGCCAACAGGTACAGTGATGGTCTCTGCCCACTAATGTTGTTGTTGTTATGTGCTGTCGAGTCGGACCCGACTCATAGTGACCCCTCCATGGGTTTCCAAGGCAGTATCACTACAGAAGTAGATTGCCCAACCCTTCCTTCCAAGGAGTGGCTGGTGGGTTTGAACCGCCAGCCTTCTGGTTAGCAATCAAATGCCTTAGGCACTATGCTACCAGAGCTCCTGCCCACTAATGTAGGGGTCACAAAACACTCAGCCCACTTTTAGAAATAGAAAGGGTTAGTAGCAGCTCCTGACTTCCGCCCTAAGAACCAACTGAGGCAGCAGATGGTTGTTATGGTGAGATGGTCATAGATTTCACTACTTCTTAAGCAGAAAGTGTGAGATGGCCTAGAATTTGTAGGCATGGAGAAATATGGGTGTGATTGTTGGGTAATATGAAAAGGAAGCTAAACTGGGGGGCAGGAATGCATGAGAGGGAAGGACACAGGGAAGGGGTAACGGGAGGAAGTAGAAAGAGAGCTGTTACATTGTGGGGAATTGCAGTCAATGTCATGAGACAAAATTTGTATGAACTGCTATATGGAAAATGGATTCGTTCTGTAAACTTTCACCCAGATCACAATAAAAATTAGGAAAAAAAAAAAAAAGGAAGCTGAAAAAAATATTGAGAATCACCTATTGGTCTTCCTCCTAAAAAAAGAAATGCAGAGAACTAACTCCTAAGGCCTCTGAGATCCACCTCTGACTCACTTAAGTATATACTGACATTCATTATACATTAATTGAATTCTCATGTCCACACATTTATTTACCAGAGTTAGAGGAAACTCTATCTGTTTTAAAGTAGGTGCTTTAAATTTTATCTATAAAGAGCCATATAGTGTATGTGTTGAGCTTTGCAGGCCACATGATCTCTGTCACAACTACCCAACTCTGCCGTCATAGCATGGGAAGCACAATAAACCAAAACCAGACTCACTGCCATCAAGTCGATTCATACTCACAGTGATCCTCCTTGGGTTTCTGAAGCGGTAAATCTTTATGGAATTAGATTGCCCCATCTTCCTTCCATGGAGCGGCTGGTGGATTTAAACCGACAGCCTTCAGGTTAGCAGTTAAATGCCTTAGGCATTATATCACCAGAGCTCCTGGGAAGCACAATAGACAATATAAATGAATGGGAATAGCTGTGTTCCAATCAAACTTTACTTACAAAAACAGGCAGCAGGCTAGATTTGACCTCAGGCCACAGTTTGCCAACCTCTGTTCTGAAAGTTGGCTGTTTAGCCTTTATTGCCCTAGAATACTCATAAATCCATTTCCTTCAACTTGATTCTCTCATGGCAACCCCATGTGTTATACAGCAGAACTATTCCATATAATTTTCTTAGCTATAGTCTTTACAAAAGCAGATCGCCAAACCTTTCTTGTGCAGTACTTCTGGGTAGGTTTGCACTGGCAACCCTTAGGTTAGTAGTGAAGCACAAACTGTTTGTACCCAGGGACCTTATTGCCCCAGATGACAGCCAGTTTATCTTCTTAGCCTTTCTCCTTCTCCTTTCTCCCTCCCAAATGTTTCAGCAGCAGGTAACATCATTTTGTAAAGACCAGGATTCAACCTTCTGAAAGAATACAAACAAAACCAAAAACCAAACTCACTGACATTGAGTTGGATCCGACTCATAGCAACCCCTTCTTGGGTTTCTGAAGTAGTATCACTATGGAAGTAGATTGCCCAATCTTCCTTCCACAGAGTGGCTGGTGGTTTGAACTGCCAGCCTTTTAGTTAGCAGTCAAATGCCTTAGGCACTATGCCACCAGAAGCTAGAATATTCTGACATAAGTTCTCTTTTCCTCCACTGGCTTTTTCTAATGGTTAAGAGCATGAAAGGGAAGTTGTCAGCAAGAGAGAGACCAAAGGATAGTGTCAGGTTGCCTTACAGACCTCTCTCTTAGAATTCTTTAGAGAAACAGAACCAGTTAGAGATATCCCTGTGTGTGTGGAGAGAGAGAGAGAGAGAGAGAAAGAGATTTATTTTAAGGAATTGGCTCACATGATTGTAGGGGCTGAAAAATCAGTAATCCGTAAGTCAGGTGTCAGAGTTGGAGATTTCTAGTCTTGTGTCCCAAGCTCCGTAGCTCAGGTGGCAAGAAGAGTGAAGAGTTCTGGCAGCATGTCTCTTTATAGTCTAGAGGCAGAATATAACATAGAGAACACTCCCTTTTCACTCTTAAGGCCTTCAGTTGGTTGCTTGAGAACACTCCTTCCCTCACAACACTATGGAAGGTCATCTGCTTAAGGTCAACTGATTTAATCACATGTGACTACTAGCTAATGGCAACTACACTAGTGTTTGGCCAAACAACTAGACACTATATATAACTCAGCTACAGACAAACACTTAAATGTTCTTCTTTCTTTCTTTTTTTTTCCTCCAAGAGGAGCATTTAATGGGAGCAAAATCCTCATCAGTGGCATATACTAGTCCATATGAAAAGCCAGCCTTTTTATGTGCTAGGTAGACATAGCTATCTGTGCATAACCAACCCTTTCCCCATGCCAGGTAGCCATTAACAGTGGTGATCTTTGTTAGAACACTAATAACAAGCCAAAATTGTTGAGAGGCCAGGGACTGAATCCAAGCCTGCAGGACAGAAAGTAACACTAAACAGTTGCTTTTAGGAATTCCCAACTCTGTGGTTGTTGTTAACCGTCATCCAATTGGCCACTGATTCATGGCAACCCCATGCACAACAAAATAAAAAAACTGTGGTGATCTATAGGGTTTTCATCGGATAATTTTTCAAAAATAGATTATCAGGGCTATCTTCCTAGTTCGTCTAGTCTAGAAGCTCAATGGAAACCTCGTCAACATCATAGCCACACACGAGTCTCCGCTGATAGTTGGGTGATATCTGTGCTTGAGGTGCGTTGGCCAAGAATTAAACCAGATCCCCCAGCATGGAAGGGAAGAATTCTACCATTGAACCACCAGGGCCTCATTAATCTGTGGAAGGTCCCTGGGAAGAAAGAGCCATCACAGTTCCAGATCATAGTGACTCAGAGCCAGGGGCGAATTTCACAATGTTTTAATCACATCAAAGATTCTGTTTCTAGGTGTGGCTGCCATCTCTCTCTCTCTCTCCCAAGCCCACAGCACCTTCCCATAGAATCAAAGCCTCTTTTCAAACTTATAGTCCCTGATAGGTACAGAGTAACCACTAAGCAAGGTGAGCACAGACTCCTTGTACTTGCTTACAAATCTGTAGTGAGCACTGTTCACAGAGTAGTGAGTAGAAATAAGCCCATGCTTACCTTGCTTATTGGGTAATCCAACACTGAATCCAAAATCTTCAAGTGCGTTTTATTTCTGAGCATAGACTGTATTCCTCTTTAAAACCTAGCATCTTCCATTAGGGTATGGGGGAACCTGGGCTCCATGCTTTAAACATGAACCCCAGTGTTGCCAGGATAAATGCATACAGATGCAAAGAATGTAACACTGCATTGGCGTCAGATCACTGGGCACTTCCCTGCACCCTTCTCCTACAGCAGATAGAGGTGCCAGCTGCTGTCTGTAGGTAATGGCATGACCATCCTGATGCTTCTTTCTGAAAAGCCAGGCCTTCAGATGTGCAGTGGGAATTCACACCAGCTGTTGTTACTGAATCTGGGGAAGGCCTTTTTTTCTTTCTGTTGTTTTCATTCCTTTCATTATCATTATTCATCCAGGTTTAACCTGAAAGCATGTCCTGGTGAAACTGTGAAGTGCAAAGTTTTGCTTCACACATGTGCAGATCTTAGGCCTGACTTCCTTTGTTGTAGGAAAACAGCCCCTCTGCAGTTGCTTGGAAAATTCAGCCTGTTCGACCTTTCTGGGCTCTTCCTGCACATTTTGGTATTTATTGTTGGCTTCCCCCGGAATGACTTCAGTGAGGAAACTCGTGCGGCAGAGGAGCTGTGGATTCCATCACGGGCATTTGGTGGATTACAATGTCACTGGCTTCAGTCTCACTTGCATTCTTCAACAGCAGACATCTGCTCTGCTGTTTGCAAAGTGCTAGATGCAAGAGGGTTGGGTGACTTTTGCCAGCACAGAGAACCCGGGTTTCAGATACTCTCGGTGGCTGGTGTTCCCAAGGTTTACCTCAGCCTCCCATACCAAAATCACCTGGGAATATGCTTTGCACCCAGACTGCCTGGAGCATTTTCTTAAAGTGCTGTTCTTTTGCATATCCTCCAGCTTGTTTTTGTTAGCTGCCATTGAGTCTCCCCAATTCATGGTGACTCCCCACAGCCCACACTGGTACCATGCAGTGAAATGCTACCAGCCCTGCACCTTCCACATGATCAGTTGCAGATCAAACCATTGTGACCTATAGGTTTTTCACTGGCTGATTTTCAGAAGCAGATCTACAGATCTTTTTCTCATCCTTCAGCTAAATACTGAAAATAAGTGACACCAAAAAGAGGTAGAGAGATTGTAGTGGAGAAAGAGGTTGGAAGCATTGAGAGATGGAAAAGATGTTATGAATCATTTGTCTACAACTCCCCAGAAACATTACTCTGCATGGCTGACCCTTTAAATGTGAAACAGCTGCACCAGTCCCAGACTTTTAACCAAGGATGGCCACATTCCAGGGCCTGGCTTCCCGGTTCTTGTTGTCCTTGACACTAGTAGCATCCCTCCTACTGAGGCAGCTGAGGAAGGACGAGGTTTCTTTTGGCCCTTCTTTTTTCCTCCTGGCATATTCTGGAGTTTAATTTTATTAGAGGATAGCTCCACTCAAAACTTTTCAGTCTGACCTAGTGGCAAGCAGTCCTGAGGCTCTCATCTTGACTTTATTTCAAAGCATGGGCCCAGACCTGGGAACGGAGTGGAGGAAGTACAGAAAAGGGGAGGAAAAGAATGAGGGAACGGACTTCTTTGCTCCATGTGTGCCTCACGAGGGTCTGCAAAGCAATACTTTTCCTCAAAGAAAAACAAAGTGATCAGGTTGTGTCAGGAATTTGTGTGTCAGAAACTGTTAGTAACAGCAATAAATAGTTCTTTATTCAAAGAAGTCAAAATTTCTAAAGAATACCATGTAAAGCAAAGAATGACATGCAGCTAAAAGATAGACACTCTAAAGTTTAAAATATAAAATCGGGCAATCAACTGCCGTAGAGATACCACCTCGGAAACCCAAGGAGGGGTCGCTATGAGTGGGATCCAACTCCACGACAGTGAGTGAATGGAGGTTGCTTGAGATGAAGATGCCCAGTTGTCATGGCGAAGAGTCGTCCCCATTTAGCCTTTTCTGCTCCTTTGTGAGGTGCATCTCTGCTTCCCTAGACAGATTTCCAGTACTGCAACTTACTAACCTGACAGCCACCTTGGCAGTCTCCGAGGCTTTGCAGCAGTCCCTCTGGGGCAGGCTTACCCACAGCAGACTGTGCACCAGCTATGATGAAAAGTCAAGGTGCACAGACCTGGTCACGAGGCTCACACAGCAACATTGTATGATGTAAAAGGAAAGAACAGGGACAAGAAAGATAAACTAGGAAGAGGGCTGAGGTTATGGCGACTACCCTTATTATCTCTCAGTGACCACTATCTCTTACTAACTAAAACTATTCTCATCTTCAGTATTGTCAAAATCTGTGTCCTCCTTTGTTGTTAGTTGCTATGGAGTCAGCTCTGACTCCTGGCAACCCCCTGTACAGCAGAACAAAACATTGTCCAGTTCAACACCATCTTCATGATCCTTGGTATGTTTTGAATCTATTGTGGAGGCCACTGTGTAATTTGAGTGCCTTCCAACCTATGGTGATCATCTTCCAGCACATGTCAGACAATATTCTGTTGTGATCCACAGGATTTTTATTGGCTAATTCTCAGAAGTAGATTGCCAGGCCTCTCTTCCTAGTCTGTCTTAGTCTTGAAGCTCTGCTGAAACTTGTTCACCATGGGTCACTCTGCTGGTGTTTGAAATACAAGTGGCAGAGCTTCCGACATTACAGCAAGACGCAGGCCAGCACAGTATGACAAACTGCATGGCAAACCTCGTCTGGGGATCTGAAAATAGGATCCATAGGGATAAACTCCCAAAATATAAAGGAGTGCTATGGTCGGCTTCCTTAGAAGTCCTTATTCTCCTAGACATTTCAGTGAGGCATTTCTTCCGTATTGTTTAACTCTTCAGGTGATTCCTCGGGAGTTTGTTTTCTGCAAAGTCACTGGGTTTTAGGTGCAGACTGAACACTTTGAATAAGCCTGTGTGGGCCGTCTGGAGCCCCTCAATGGCTCCCTGTTCCAGCTGACGGGCATTTGCCCGAACTCCTGTAGAGAACAGCTGTCTGAGGGAGAACAGTTTACCCAAGCATCTGCAGGTGCTGCGCCCTGGAAGGCACTCTGAAGCATTCAGAACCTAGTCCAACTCCAGCTTCATGTCCCATTAGCCCAGCAGGCAAGCACCCCGGGCAAGCCAGGTTGATAATTTAGTGGGTGGGTAAACAGAGCAGTACTGGAATGGACACATGGTTATTTCCTTCTTTTCCCTTTGTTCCTCCCCTGCCCCCATCCTTTCAGTCCTCCTCTTGGCCTGTATACCCTGCCTAACAAAGGGCCAAACGGAATATTCAGCACAAATGGTGTACTTCTGTGAAGAATATGGAGGTTGGCCATTGTGGGGGGATGCTGGGTGGACTTGGGTCCTTTGAAAATGGTTTTAGACAAGAGTGACTTGAGGTGTAAAACTTTATGTTTTGACACATTCAAATTCTGCTGCATAAGAATTTTCCAAATTAAAAAGAAAAATCTTGTCTCTTCAGATTCTGCTTTCAACTGCACTTGTTAGAATTATAAAATAAGTTGTCTTTTTTTTTTTTTTCCAGTCTCCCCTCCCCCACAACTCACTGAGTTTGGGATTTAGTTTAGATGTATTGGCTTTCTGTTCCAAATTTTGGCCTCTGAATGAAAACTGAAACTTTTCCTCCCTTTCTAAATTTGATTACAGATGAGTATTTCTGCTTCCAATTATGGGCTTAAGTAGAAAAGAAGGTATGTTTTCTACTCTGAAATACTAAAACAAAGAAAGAAATCTATAGGATCCTATAATTCATGATACTTATAATATAGTGATTATTCTTTAACTATTTTTGCTGTTGTCTTATTCAACTATTCAATGACAGACTATGTCATAATATTTAAATTCAGTTGTGACATGATATTTAAATGCAGTTTTAAACTTGCAGTTTACTTACAGTAAAAATTACACATTTACAATGAAAAGTTTTACATGCCAATAAGACTTGTCCATGAAAACTGTATTCCTTCAATCAAAAGAAGGTACAGCCTTTGGATTAGACAGAGATGGGTTTGCCATATTAAAGAGCCCTGGTGGGACAGGAGTTAAACTTGCAGCTAGTAACTAAAAGGTCAGCGGTTAGAACCCAATAGCAGCTCCACAGGAAAAAGATGTGGCAGTCTACTTCCATAAAGAGTGCAGCGTTGGTAATACTATGGGGCGTTTTACTCTGTCCTCTATAGTTCCTTTAAGTCAGAATCCACTTGTTTTTTTTTGTTTGGGTTTGCTTTGACTTCAGTTGCTATGTTTGACTTTGGAAGAGTCCATTTCTTCATCTACAAAATAGATATAATAATATCTGCCTCACAGGGTTGTTTAATAAGTATCAGTAGTTATTAAATAAGATAAGCTATAGAAGGTGATTATCACAGCTCTTAGTATTGTAAGCACCTAATAATTGGTAACCTTCATTTAGCAATGTGTACCTAGTGAGTGAGTCTTTCGAACACAGGTCCTGATGGCGTAGGTCTGGGGTGAAGTCCATGGATTTGCATTTCTGATCAGCTCTGAGGTGATGCTGAAGCTGCCTGTCCCCCTACCACACTTCATATAGCACTGATTTAAAAAATCATTCAGCTTTGTCATATACATTGTTACTCTTATGGTCCTCAAAAGACTTGTGAGCAAGCATCTGCTGACTGCTGTGCAAGTAATTTACTAAGAAGTTTGTAATATAAAGCAAGAGACTTAGATAATGGCTATCTAGTATAGAATGGAATGAATCTGTAAGAACACTAAGAGCTTACATCATATACACACAAAGAGGAATGTATTGTGGAGTTGGTCAGTGAGTTGGTAATAGTTGGAAGTCCCAAATATGCATGGTGAAAGTTAAAAAAAAAAGGAAAACTCATTTTCCAGGTGTTCCAGATCACTAGAACTAGTAATGTCTGTCCTCTCTCAGCCTTTCTGAAAGAAACTATTTAGATTAAGAGAGAAAAGCCAAATAGTATGTTTAAATACCCCATTTCAGAAGCAAATTATATAAGCTTTGCAATAACCAAACATCTAAAGAAAAACAAACAATTCAATTCTAATTGAGCCAAGTAAGTGTTTGAAGCATTCTATATGCTCCACCTTAAATTATGATGAAGCATTCAAACCAAAAAGGAGAAAACATCAAAATACATTGGTCTAATGTCTAATTCAGCAGTAAGCATAAAAACTTTTGGGGTAGTAGTGGATGATTTTGAAATTAAGATCCATTTACAATTTTAGAAATAATTACAGAATAACACATAGCTTTCAGTATTTATAAAATTTCTTATCATTTAGTTGCCAAAACATCATACAAGAACATTATAGCCTTGACACATTGAGTAGATAATTTAAATGAAAGGATGAGGGGAAAAAAAACTTACAGTAGTTATGTGAGCTATTTCCTGGGTTAATTCCTCAAAAGGATGTACTACACTTAAAGGCGGTCTTTTCTGTGAGGCACCATCCTAAGTAATTTATCTGAAAACCTCTCACAGGGTTGGCTGTGGGGCACCATTTTAATAACTGGATGCATAATTTGTGCCATAGCAAGCATATATCATTTCTTTGAGCACACAATTATGAAGTCAGCCTTGACACAACAGGGTTTTGCTGCA